GGGGGGGTGATAGAAAAACACCTGAAAGGGTAAGTCTTAGTTGAGTTTATGCTGATTCTGCAAAGCAATTGCCATCTTTATGAAGGTGCAGATTAGGATACTGATAACAGTGAAGAGAGAGAAAAATGCAGGCACATCGACATGTCTGCGTTAGAAAAGGCACATCGACTAAATAGAGGTCATTAAGTGTTGGATGAAAGTAAGACAAACAAGTAGAGAGACAGACGGAAAAGAGCAGGAAAGACAGATAGACAGGAGGGAAAGAGCATTGTAAAAAAGGTATTTGTTAGAGTTCTACGGCACAAGCAACACAAATAAATCATATAGGTGCCAAAGATTACAGGCCTTACTAGAGAGAAACATACCAAGAAAAGTAGTTGGTTTTTTAAGGTTTTAGTAGAGGTTTTACGGCGCTCGCAACTGCATAAGGTCATATGAGCGCCAGGAGATTAGAAGTGTTAAAAGAGAGCAACAAACATAAAAAAGAAGAAGGGGGGATAAGGACGATAGATGTTTGATAGGAAAGAAGAAGCAAACAACACCAGAGCACCCGCCAACCACCCACTAAATAAAAGAAGGAGGAGAGATAGGGACGGTAGGCGTTTGACAGAAAAGAAGGAGTGAACCTCACCAGAGCACCCATCAATCAGTCACTTAAAGAAGAAAGACTGATTAGAACGACAGACGTATGAAAAGAACACAGAAGGAGCACACCAAACCTGAGCACACGCCAAGCACACACTTCAACCTAAAGAAGAAAGACTGAAAAGGATGATAGACGTTTGAAAAGGAAACAACAGAAGGAGCAATCCAAACCTAAGCACCCGCCAGCCACCCACCCACAAACTAACTGATCTAGTGACGAGATATACTCACCGACACATTGGAACTGCCCGGGGTGTTGGTGCCATAGCCAGAGGACGGGATAGAGGCGAACGACCAGCGCCTACCGTCACACCTAGCAGACACACAGGAGAAAGCACATGATTAGTTTAGTTTTAGTAGAGGTTTTACGGCACTTGCAACACAATAAGGTCATATAAGTGCCAAAGATTAGAGGTGTTACAAGAGAGTAACAAACACAAAAAAGAAGGAGGAGAGATAAGGACGATAGATGTTTGATAGGAAAGAAAAAGAAAAACCACACCAGCGCCTACCGTCACACCTGGCAGACACACAGGAGAAAGCACATGATTAGACAGATAGTCCACATATGATTTAGGTCTGTTTTAGTTTTAGCTTTCGTAAGTGTTTTACGGAACTTGCAACACAATAAGGTCATAATATAAGTGTCGAAGATTAGAGGTGTTACAAGAGAGTAACAAACACAAAAAAGAAGGAGGAGAGATAAGGACGATAGATGTTTGATAGGAAAGAAAAAGAAAAACCACACCAGCGCCTACCGTCACACCTGGCAGACACACAGGAGAAAGCACATGATTAGACAGATAGTCCACATATGATTTAGGTCTGTTTTAGTTTTAGCTTTCGTAAGTGTTTTACGGAACTTGCAACACAATAAGGTCATAATATAAGTGTCGAAGATTAGAGGTGTTACAAGAGAGTAACAAACACAAAAAAGAAGGAGGAGAAGATAAGTTAGTTTCTGTAGATGTTTTACGGTGCTCGCAACTGCATAAGGTCATATGAGCGCCAGAAGATTAGAGGTGTTACAAGTGAGTAACAAATATAAAGGAGAAGAAGGGGAGATAAGCACGATAGATGTTTCATAGGAAAGAAGAAGCAAACCACACCAGAGCACCGGCCAACCACCCACGTCCATCTTCTCCGTCAATGGACAACAACGCAAGAGCAACCCAAAAGTCAATACAATCGACAGAAACATAAACAAGGGAAAATAAGCCTAGGAAAAATATCTCAGTGAATTGCTAAACGAATCGATGAATGGCGCCGACTGTTAAAAAGGGATGGTTGTTGAAAGGGGAACGGAACAGTGAAAAGGACTGGATGTTAAGATAGGATTTAAAGAAAACAAAAAAACTAACAACAAAAACAACCTAACTCACAGACTGAATCAATGAATGAACGGACCCGATGGAGCAAACAAACTTTAATGATTCTTTAGTGCACAAATCTCTAGGCTGGAAGAATATAATAAAAGGCGAATGAAGGAACGAACGAACGTAGAAATTCATAAAAATAGATTAATCAAATTTTAATAAAGATTCTAAGAACTGATTTTACTTTCGCCAAAAAAAAGAGACACGATAATAGCGATGTAGTGCCAGAAAAAAAGGAAGGCACTTCAATTTATTGCTAAGTGTCTTTCACTCCGTAGGCACAATTTAGATCATTTGGGAGGCTGGCTGCTTCTGTCTTGTTTGTTAGAGCTAACACTTTTTGTGTGGCATAAAACATCCCAGTAGACATATCAAAAACATTCCCCACAAGGGAATCGATTGCGTCTTCTGTACGCAACAGTATAATAAACAACCCCCCCC